TGTATATGTACCGTATATATATATATGTATATGTACCGTATATATGTATATACATACATATACTAAGATAAACTACTACTTACTACTTGTACTCCTATTCCTACTTCGCGGTTTTTCATTTATTGCGGGCCTTCTGGGTGTGATCCCTCACAATAAACTAGGGACTACTGTACATCAACAACTGATTAATTTTTAGAGTCAAACCAATTTGAGATGGTTGCCACAGTCAACTGACCATGGCTCTAACTCAGTCAGTTTCATGCTCTCCCATGAGAGCAAAGGAGCAACTGGTTTTAGGTCATCCTCTCCTTAGCTCTGATTTTGTTTTCTTTCTTTCTTTCTTTAGAAGAGCTGCAACTCTGAAGCTTAAAAAAGTATTTAAACAGGTGACTGTGGAGCTAACCTGGTGTTACTAAACCTCTGCTTTGAATCACAGCGCCCACAAGCTACAGTCATGTTTGTATTACCTACTTTTCCAAATAGTTGAACATTAAAGGGTATCTTTCTGTTGCCTTCAGGCGATTACTTCCGGTACTTGTGATACGGGGAGCATCTCGCTCCTGGTGGCTCATGGTCTCAGCTTTGTGAATGCACAGAAGTGCCTCAGGGTGCTTGTCATGATAAACCTGATGTAGCAGTGATGGAATGGGTCTGTAGGTTCACATAAATGTTGCATAAGGTTAAGAAGTCTCCAACCCTCTCAGTTTGAGATGGCTTAAGGGTTGCAAAGGGAGAAAAAAAATCACTGTTCAAATTGGAAAATTAGTTTTGGTTCATTTTCCTTAAATAAATCACATTCTCATCCAGAAACCCTCAGCAAAGCCTTTATACTAATGTGGTGTGTTTGTCTCTGCCAGGTTTGTACAACTCTGCAGACAGCTGGATGATTGTACCAAACATCAAGCAGAACCACTACACGGTGCACGGCCTGCAGAGTGGCACTCGCTATATCTTTTTCGTCAAGGCCATCAACCAGGCGGGAAGCCGTAACAGTGAGCCGGCACGCCTCAAAACCAACAGTAAGTGAGCGCACACGCGACACGTCTGCAGATTTTCCCATGAATATTTACAAGCCTTCCTAATTTTGCGTTTGATTGTTAATATAATTGAAAGCTTTCTTCTGGCTGCGTGTCGTGCATTGTTTGCAGATGCTCCTGAGCGTGGTGTTTGATTTATTCGATATGAAGTTTATTTAATTTAGATTATCCTCTAAATCATTAGAATACTAATTATGTGTTTGTGTGTAGCCTGTTTGGTGCATTACTTTTTGAAAGAACAAATACTTGTGCTTTTTACACTTTACCGTCACATTATTTTTGTCTTATTTATGAAAGAAAAAATGTGCTAAATTCCTCAAACAAAAGGTGCATGTTGTAAGAGTCCTTTTCTTGAGTTTGAGCTGTTGGGTTGAAATTTAAATTAAAAATGGCGTACATTAAAAATGGCGTACATTAAAAATGGTGTACATTAAAAATGGCGAGAAATAATATAAATTTATTTCAGTAATGTTTTAGCTATTTTTGAGATATGTGTTGCTCCACTCCATGTCATCTTAGTAGGATTGTAAGGGATATATATATATATATATATATTTTTATGTTTGTTGTTAAATATATATATTATATATATATATATATATTTTTGTTTATATATATATATATTTATA